TAGATATTTGTTAGATATGTCAATGTTTGGCTGGTGGATGGCTTAAAGCTAATTAACAATGTCATTTTATAACTGGAAGAATTTGATGGTACCAAATAAAGTCTCGGAAAAGGACTAATGAAAGTAACTAATTATTCAGATGGGATATGAGTCATTTTTGTATGATGTAGGACATTATTTCGGGGGAAGGAATCAAAATTGTCATTAGTTCTATTTTGTCAAGTTGTCTGGTTAGTAGGAGCGATTCTGGGCCCCACCATTGACTTGAGAGGTTCTCTCTGTATATCAAGAGAACAGCTCAAATATATACTCATAGCATTAAGAGTTGTACAAGAATCCAACAAGTTCTTCCATGATGTTTGTGAATCAGTGTTGTGTGTAGACCAGGAAAGCTAGACAATATCAGAGGACCTTTGTGTGAGAATTCATTCCAAAATAAATGGACTTGAACACCATACTGGACTTATCTTTGAGTATCCATCTTAGCTACATCAGAAAGCCACAATAACTCGGTGCGCCTAGTGGCTGCAAGAGTCGTATACTCCCCAGGGAGTTGAGACTGATAACACGATGTGCCGTTGAGATTGACATCCAGTGATCGAGGGGAAAAATACCAGCGCCTTGAGCAAGCACTAGTTGCCTGGATATGTGCGCTATATAAATATACTATAATAATAATAACATCATCCCCAGAACAAGAGTGGATAGACAGATTGCCTAGGAGAAGGGAAATACACCCGGACACCCTCGGGTAACACATCCCTAAAGTCTGGTGACACCGTGACCACAAGTCTGAATTGATTTGTTGATAAGCAATTAAATTCAATTGAATATAAAAATATTAAATGAAGAATTAACAAACACAATAACATGACATCATTAATATGTATTTTCATTCTTAGAGATTTTGAAATTGAAGGAATCAAATGAATTGTTTAAGGTCTCAAATTAGGGAAAGGGAAGACATCTGTAAAACAAGAAATAAAATTGGCCTGGCCTTAGGATAATATGTTTATAGTAGCATTAAGGGTTTTTACCATTGAAACTTAAACACTATGAGTAGAGGCCTCAGACCCTTTGTATACAGCATATGTAGAAACCATAGTCCATCAATATTCCCATGGGCATCCAGCATCCGTATGTTTGTACATTTATTTAATATTTCTATACTACTCACACTTTGCTACAGATCACAAAGATTCACAACTTTACTTAAACATAGATTCATAATTTGAAATTGTATTCTTTTAAAACTGGATAAATAATATTATCTTACCTCACACATAAATGTCGCTTTCTGACTGGCTGAGCGCTCTTCTATTATTTTCAATGTACCCCGCTTACAAGTGAGTAACATTTCAATGTACCCAGCTGTCAATGGCAACTCATTTGGTACTTCATGATAGTAATTCTTTATCTCGAATAACATTGAATCACTTATGATGTACGGAAATTACCGATGTTTTGCGAATGCAAATCGATGGAAGGGAGATAACTCTAAATCTGTTTTTCTTGTCAGCAAATTCTAGCGATGGCTACAAAAAGATTTGTACCCATGCTTCAAACAATTCAAATTTAACATTAAGGTGTTCGGTAAGATAAATACGTTGTTCACTGGTCCCTTGGGGCCCATGGGTTGATGTACCCTCGATATTTGTTTTTGTTTTGTTTATGAACATAAACAAACATCAAGGGTACATCAACCCATGTCCCCCTCAAGACCAGTGAACAACTTATAATATGGTAACCTCTCTTTAGGCAAATAGTCACTTTAATCTAACCTTATGCACATGATACATGAGTAACCATAAAAATGCTTTTCATGGCATCAATCAACCATTTTGCAAATCATGAAACAAGTCACTGACAAGTACACGACACCTGTCAATAGCAGGTATGGGATTCACAAGATGAAATGACATACTGAGCCTTGGATCCATGCTTACAATAAGCTTGAATAGTACAGGATATAATTAGATAGATTTTATTTCTTTCCTTTGACCTAAACAGAAAAAAAAAGTTTTAGAGTTGTTACCCCCCTGGCATGTAATGCGGGGGATATACTAGTAGTCGACGCCTCGTCTGTCTGTCTGTCCGTTCGTAATCATTTTGTTTCCGGAGCATAACTAAACAAACATTCAATATTTTCCAACAAAAATTGGTATATAACAAACAGAACCTAAGCTGGTGCCTTTTGCTATTTGCAGATTTTTGGCATTTTGTCTTTTTCTCGGTTTCCATGAAAACGATTCGGACTTAGTCTCAAAAGGGAGGGGTGGGCTTCATTTCCGGAGCACAGCTCGCAAACCGTTCAATATCTTTCATTTAAAACTTGGCTGATAGATGAGGCAGATCCCAAGTGGTGCCTTTTGCTATTTGCAGATTTTTGGCATTTTTCTTTTTCTCGGTTTCCATGGGTTTCGGACTTAGTCTCAAAAGGGAGTAGTGGGCTTCGTTTCCGGAGCACAACTTGAAACCTTTTCAAAATCTTTCAACAGAACTTAGCCGATATATCAAACAGAACCTAAAGTGGTGCCTTTTGCTATTTACATATTTTTGGCATTTATATTTTTCATGATTTCGATGGAAACGATTCAGACTAAGTCTAAAAAAAAAGAATCAAGCTGGACTTTAAGTAACTGTCAGATGATTTCTTCTTTCAAATATGGGGGGGGGGGATATATATCATCTTCTGATGACTCTTGTTTCCTTTTAGTGATCCCCAATCTTTCCTTCATTGTTGTCATGTAATTTTACCATGTATACAGGTATTTGTACCACCTTCCCAGGGACTGTCATACATCAGTACCCCATCCACAATTTCTGTGCAGCCTGCAAAAGGATGGTTCCATACTCCTACCATCAATCTGTACAACTGATATGTAGGTCAGGAGAATATAACATTATTTGTTAGTTATTGTTTAATTGGGGTGGTGGGGTAGGCAAGTGGTTAAAGTGTTTGCTCGTCACGCCGAAGACCCAGGTTCGATTCCCCACATGGGTTCAATTTGTGAAGCCCATTTCTGGTGACCCCGGCCATGATATTCCTGAGTGAGCTGGGTTTTCATTGCTTTTAGCAATATTCCAGCAATATCACAGTGGGGGACACCAGAAATGGGCCTCACACATTGTACCCATGGGGAATCCAACCCGGATGTTCGTCATGACAAGCGAATGCTTAAACCACTGGGCTACCTCCACCTCCCTGACTTTACCAGTGCTGTACTGTTATATCATTGTTGTTTTTCTTTTTTCCCCACTCATGTTATACATGTTTCATATATGATGTTCTCCATACATCTTTACATAGTCGAAGGTATAAACTTCACTTCATTTTAAACATGTTATTTATATATATATATGCAATGCTCTCTATACATTGTCAAAAGTATAAACACTTCATGTTTATCCTGTTATATATACAATGTTCTCTATACATTGTAGAAGATATAAGCTTCAATTTCCACATCATGTTAAACATGTTATGTATGAAATGTTATCCCTACATTGTCGGAAATATAAGTAGTAATTTCCCCTTCGTGTTAAACATGTCGTATATACAACATTCTCCATATATTGTTGAGAGTATAAATATCGATGAATATTGATACAGGTATATATGTTATAATAGAGATATTATACCTAATTGTATTAATTGTATCAATGACATGATCTATACATATCCTTAACTCAATAATTAATGCAGGTTCTCTTAATAGATTATGGAATGATGACCAGAATGCATAAAACTTGTCAAGTGTACATGATAAAAAGGCACTATATTGTGTTGCTTCATAGTATATGTTTATCTCCCTTTGTACGTGATTGAAATTTGGAATTGCTTCTTTTACCTTTTGGGAATATATGACTTGTACTACAAGACATATGGCATTTAATGAATTAATATTTCTTCCTTTAAATCCAAGCATTTTCTGAATTAAATTCAATGTTACCTTCTGCTACAGTTTTAAGCCATCCATTTAAATCATTCCGTATTTCATTTACATCGCTACATTCACTGAAAAGGTGAACAATTGTTTCTGGTTCTTTGGAACAGAAGGTGCACAAAGCAGTTTCTTTAATGCCAATTATATGTAAACTTCTAAACTTATTGGTAGGTATGATATTATATAGTATTTTCATCTGTAACCATTTTAGGTTACTACTTCTGGTACATCTGTTTCCTATCATGTATATATTTATCATTTCACTATCATATTTTCTTTCAAAAAGGCTCTCCCACTTTTTGTGTACATATGATTTTTCATAAGTTGATTCTAGAAGAGAGATAAAGGTATCGAGTACCCTTGCCATTATTAATAAGTTTTGATATATTGAAAGGCATTATTGGAGAAGTGGGTAAGGGGTCTCTAAGTGAAAAATATGATGTTTCTTTATACATGTTTTAATGGTTGATTTCATGCTTTGATATCTAAGGATATTTATCTTGATGTTAAAAACCTCCTGCAGTTCATCATGTGTATAGAATTCACCTGTATTTGGGTCGATCAAATCATAAACAAAGTGTATCCCCGCATTGTACCAATTTTTAAATAAAACTGTTTTGTTACCCATTTTAAATAAGGTATTATACCAAAGAGATTGATTCAGGAAATCTGTTGCATTTAATGACTTGTACTGTTTGTTTAAATGTGAGCTATATTCGATAGCTACTTCTTTTATATTGTTATGCTACTGTTATATCATCTTTATCATACAACACCCGTGAAGGTCTGGGTTAGAATATTGATCTTCAGTAACCCATGCTTGTCGTAAGAGGCGACTAACAGGATCGGGTGGTCAGACTCGCTGACTTGGTTGACACATGTCATCGGTTCCCAATTGTGCAGATCGATGTTCATCACTGGATTGTCTGGTCCAGACTCGATTATTTACAGACCACCGCCATATGGCTTGAATATTGCTAAAACTAAACTCACTCACTCACTTTATCATACAATACATAAACCATCATGACTCTGATTTTTTTTTCATTTCAGGTGTTTGAACATATGAGTGACTGGCACACCCTTCTCAATCGCTGGTCAAGAAGCTTGAATTCATCTGAATTATCATGTCAAACAAGCATGTAAAGTGTCCATAGTGTTCTCAAAGACATAAACTGACTGGCAGTGATGAAGAACTCTGACCTCAATCATGCTGTGTTAACTGGATATGAATTCCTGGACACATCCAAGCACAGTGACTCGTTAAAAATATTCTGAGGTATATTCAAGCCTAGTGTCATTGTTTTGGCAGCACATTGTCCATGGGGTAATTTAAACCAAAGTTGATTCCTCAGCTGACCAAGAAGACCATCAATGCTGGTTTCATCTGCACATACAGGAAAGGTTCAGTGATTTATTCTTTGTATCAGTTGTATTCCCATGATGTCACTTCATTTTTGAAACACCCTTGGACATGAAGCTACTTGGAACTGCTGCTTCTGCTATAGGCACTGTTGCTGGTCCCGTATCTGTTGGTCCTTCTAGAACCAGTCTTGCTGTACCTGCAGTGGGCAGTGTTGATGGTCCTATCACAGCCAAGGCTGTTGGTCCTTCTAGAACCAGTCTTGCTGTACCTGCAGTGGGCAGTGTTGATGGTCCTATCACAGCCAAGGCTGTTGGTCCTTCTAGAACCAGTCTTGCTGTACCTGCAGTGGGCAGTGTTGATGGTCCTATCACAGCCAAGGCTGTTGGTCCTTCTAGAACCAGTCTTGCTGTACCTGCAATGGGCAGTGTTGATGGTCCCTATCACAGCCAAGGCTGTTGGTCCTTCTAGAACCAATCTTGCTGTACCTGCAGTGGGCAGTGTTGATGGTCCTATCACAGCCAAGGCTGTTGGTCCTTCTAGAACCAATCTTGCTGTACCTGCAGTGGGCAGTGTTGATGGTCCTATCACAGCCAAGGCTGTTGGTCCTTCTAGAACCAGTCTTGCTGTACCTGCAGTGGGCAGTGTTGATGGTGTTGGCAGAGACAAAGCTGCTGGTCCCTCTAAGGCCAGTCTTGCTGATCGTGCTTTGATAAGAATTGTTGAAGCCTATGCAGCAATCCAGTACAACTGGGACAGCAGTTGCTCTGACTCTGAATTTGGTTATGATCATGAAGACAATTACAAGCAGCGGCGCAAATATGTACTTATTGATCTAGACAATGGGGCCCAGGGAGGAAAGTCCAACCCGGTTCAAACCAAGCCAAAGAGAGTGAAAAAGCTTTTGAAGAAAGATGGACAGAAGAGGAAAGGAAGGAAACGATCAGTCTCTGTACAGTCGGATGCAAAGACATCAGAAGGTTTGGAGATGTCTGATCAGCAACAAGAAGAAATACTACCAAGAAGCAATTGTTTTAAGCGTACTACACTGCCAAAACAGACAAATGACAAATGTTTATCACCTGTGGAAAAAGTTACATATAGATCGTTTCGAGAAGAAGTAGGAGACCATCAATGTATACAGCAGTTTCCAGGTATTTTGCCAAATGAAGCAGTGTTGTCAGATGTAGGCAATTATTCACGTCAGGAACAATGTAACCCTGAGAAAACTGAAGATCAAAGAAACAACCCTGAAACAGTTCCCCTTGGTGAACAGCATGATCCTATGGAGAGTAAGGCGACTTGTGTTATTGTTCTGTCAGACAGTGATGATGAAATTGATGAATCTGGTAATACAGAGTCTGGAGATGGAGCTGGTTCATCAGAGATGCCAGAAGAATCTCGGAGACAAGGTCTGTTGGAGGGTCCCACAGCTGTAGCAGTTCCACATGATGAACAGCCAAACTCCATGGAGAAGAAGAACTTGGTTCTGATGGAGACAACTACAACAGTTCCTCATGGTGAACAGCCAAACTCCATGGAGAGAAGAAAACTTTGGTTCTGATGGAGACAACTACAACAGTTCCTCATGGTAACAGTTCCTCATGGTGAACACAGGGATAACCTTCATGGAGAGGAAGAACTTGGTTCTGATGGAAACCACAACCAGACCTGATCAATTGTACAGTGATGATGTATTTGTGATAGAACCAAGTGAATCCTGTGATTTTGAGATAGATCTGTCTGATTGTAATACTGTCAGGACATCAGACATGATTCATACAGGAGCAAGGACATTGCTGGCCTCTTCTGATGCAGCTATGGATGGATTTGATGACGGTTTCAGTTCAGAGGAAGAAACTATTGTGCAGATTGAACTTCAAAGTGATGTTACTGGTGCTGCAGCAAATCAAACTGTTCTGAAAGAAAGATCACTTGAAACACACAACAGTTCATTAGAATGGCCAGTGATGACCAGTTCTGATGGTGCCACTGTTCATGATGATGTATCAATTTCAGTTTGTGGTGCAATTCACAAACCAGAACAAGCACCCATACAAAATTTGAAATCAGCATGCTCAAGGGGCATATCCTGTTCATCAGAAGAGCAAGATATTTCATCAGACGGAATTATGAGAACAGCAAAAGTGATTCAGGCATCAAGCCACCGCGAAGAAATGTCAAGTTTAGAAGAAGGTCTTTCATGTGATGGATCTGGTTCTGGTCAAAGAATTAATCAAGCTCAAACCCAACACGTCTATAAGGTGCTTCGTGCAGACCCCTCGATTAGAGTCAGCTCTGACCCCTTGTCTGTCTTCAGTGATCATGTGACTCCGGAGACATGTTACGAAGCTCCACAGACTGCCCAAAGTTGTGACAAGTGCCAGTTGAATTTCAAATCTGCAGACCTTTTGTTGAAGCATTTCTCTAAAGTCCACAGAAAGGAGGAAAACATATTTGGAATACGAAAGAGGAACACCCATCATTTACCGCATGCCTCGTCTTCACTCAATGAACTCCACTGGTCTGAAAGAAAGAAAGGATACCAAACTCTTCAAAATGCCCAAAGTTGTGACAAAAGTGATTTGAGATCCAGTTCTCCAGAAATGTTGCAGAAGCATTCAGCAAACGTGGAAGAAACTGGCATTTTCAAACATACGAGAAAACTTAACTGTACAATCTGTGGTGAGGTTAGCATGTCAAGCCAAGCCCTACACAAGCACCTGCTGATGCATGCTGGTATCACAGCATTCGACTGTGACGGTTGTGGAAAAGTCTTCACATCTGTATCTGACTTAAGGCAACATCTTTGTATTCATCAGAAAACATTAAAGAATCAAGAGTATAAATGTAATGAATGTGGTATGACCTTTGCAGAGTATGCTAGATTGATGTATCATAAGAAAATAAAACATCAGGATAAATATTGGCATGGCTGTAAGGTGTGTGGTAAAACATTTCCAGCAGCTGTTCGTCTTAAATACCACATGCTAGTGCATTCTCAGAAGAGAGATTTTCATTGTAGCATCTGTGAGAAGAGCTTCAAATGCAAAAGGTATCTTGATAATCATAGTTATTCACACTCACCAGATAGGCCATTTGCGTGTTCTGTGTGTGACAAAAGATTTAAAAGAAAACAAAGCAGAGATGTCCATGAGATGAAACATCTCTGAATGATCCCTTGTCTAAAGTCTACTCATTATTTGTCTTCAATCATCCAGGAAAGATACCAAACTCTTCCAAAGGCATAAAGTTGTGACAAATATGATTTTAGTTCTACTTCTCCAGAACTGCAGCAGTAGCATTGTGTAAGGACCTATGGAATCGGCTCGAAGACCAGAATTGTGACAAAAATCTTAGAACTAGCATGACTGTGCCATCTGTGGTAAGGTATTCAGCTCAAGACTAAGCCTGGACTATCATTGGTTGATTCAGTCTAGTGTCAAACCACGTTTGCAGAAAAGACTTCACAAGAGCAGATAACCTGAAAGTGCATGGCAATGTTTACCGGAAGAAGCAGCATCAAAAATTTAAAAAGCCATAAGACCAGATGAATCCTTTAAAAACTATGGAAAGGATCCCTAAGGGCATGAATATAATCCTCAGGAAAATGAAAAGGATCCATAAGTAAAATTTAGAGGATTCTCAGACACGACGAGGATATTCAGGAAAATGTGAAACGGATCCTCAAGAAAATGAAAAAGATCCTTAAGTAAAATTTAGAGGATCCTCAAGGACATGAACAGAATCCTCAGGAAAATGTGAAAAGGATCCTCAAGAAAATTAAAAGGATCCTTAAGTAAAATTTAGAGGATTCTCAAAGACATGAAAAGGTTCCTAAAGTAAAATTTAGAGGATCCTCAAGGACATGAACAGAATCCTCAGGAAAATGAAAAGGATCCTCAAGAAAATGAAAAAGATCCTAAAGTAAATGAAATGGATCCTAAATCAAAATTTTAGGATCCTCAAGGACATGAAAAGGACCCTAAGGTAAAATTTTGATAAACCTCAAAGACATGAAAAGTGTCATCAGATGGATATGGAGGTCCTGGAACACCAGAAGCCACTGAAGGATCTGAAATCTGCCGAACATTCTGTGTTATATGTAATAAAAAATACTCAACACCTGTTATCCTGTACTTTCATTTGTAAAAACAACAATAATCCAAAAATCATCCAAGAACTTGAGCCCAGAAGTAATGTAAGAGACCTCCGAACAATGCAGTTTCCCGTGTATGTGGTCAGACCTGCGGGGCACATGCAGGTCTGACATAGGCCCACCATCCTAGTCAGGAAAAACGGGTCACAAGTGTCCCAGCTGTAGGAGTGATTATGGTTTTACACCGCTTTTTGCAATATTCCAGCAAGTAACTGCGGGGAACATTGTACCCTCCACACATCAAATCTGTTGAAGGGAATTCAAGCTGCATTCACATCTGATGATAACACAATAATGTGTTCGTTTATATAGCACCACACTCCACACAGGTATGCTCATAACGGTAACAATCAAAGCACAGCACATTACCCTTACTGGGGAATAACCCAAGCTGCCTGTTAGGCTAGAAGGTTATGTTCATATGACTTATCCCACCGGGTACCCATTTTCTGCTGGGTGAACAGAGGCAATTTTGAACAAACTCACTTGCCTTAGGTGAGATCACATGTGCTTCGTTGTGGGGCAGGACTGAAGTCCTAGAAACTCTCAGGAGTCAAGCTGCCAAACACGGTCACCCATCCAAGACCTCTCCGCGCCAAACGTTGCTTAACTTCACCTGATTGTGACCTGAGCTCTATGCACAGGACCACATACCAAACACCAAAAGGTTCACCAGCTGGACCAGGTGAAGACCTACCTCTGTGACTAGTGTGAGAGAGTTTCTACAGTCCGTTTGGGTTCAAATGAGAACGATGAATGATGAAATATCTCGAAATAGGGATAAGTGCACAAAACAAAAAGAAGGCACATGGTCTTGAAACCTCTGTACCCAACACGATCTGAAATCTGACGTTTTTTGGGTGGATCACGGAAAAAGTTGTTTAAGAAACCATTATGTAATATTGTGCTATTTTCACGCTTCACACCAAGGGGTGACAAAATGGCTGGTGGAACACCGCCGTCACGCACTTCAGGTGCAACTCGGCACGGCCAGGTGAGATGACCCCCACTTGTCAGGAAACAGCCGGCGCTGTTCCACCAGCCGTTTGCCACCCCTTAGTGTGAAGCGTGAAATAGCACAATATTACAAATTAGGTTTAGAGAAGAAAGCTGTACTCTTCAGTATTCCATCTTTTTTATGGCAAATACATCTGTAAATAACTGACGCAGGACCAGACAATCCAGTGATTAACATCATGAGCACATGTCTTCTAACCGTTATGGTATTCCTACATGCTTCAATTTGTGGTGTGGTAGCCTAGTGGTTAAAGCTTCAGCTTGGCACACTGAAGGCCAAGGTTTGATCCTCTGCGTGGGCGCAAGGTATAAAGCCAAGTTCTGATGTCCCCTTGATTTGGTATTGCTGAAATACTGCTGAAAGCAGGAAATTTCAATTTTCTGTTGGGTGTGAGCTGTTTAATATCACACACCATACACTGAATTCACAGGTACCGTAATCTTTAGTGAGCAAGTCTAGTTTTATGCTACTTTTAGCACTATTCCACCAATATCAGTTTCGTGATCGATCCTCGTGATGTCAACCACTGTATTGTCTTGTCCAGGCTCTGTTGTCCGTGGTGTAGTGGTTAGAGTGTCCGCCCGGAGAGCGGAAGGTCGCGGGTTCGATCCCCGACCGCGTCATACTAAAAGACGTTAAAATATGGTACTTGTTGGTCCCTGCCTGGCGCTCGGCATTTAATGGGTACAACAGGACTGGTCAACTCGGAGTCAGTATAATGTGTCTGGAGTGGGGTATTCGTGCTTCACTGCAGCATGTGGTATCTCCAGTGGGCTAGCACTATAAAACCAGCTTAAGTCTGAGCTGGGTACAAGCAGCCGCACGTACACATACACACGCATGCACGTCGTCATATGAGCGAAATATTCTCCAAGCACGACGTAAAAACCCAATTTCCACCTCACCTGTTATTTACGGTTCGCCCGTATACAACTGCTGCGGCGTTGACCAAACAAACAAAGAAACTGCTCCAAGCGGTGTATACAAATGAACGTGCCTGTCGTCAACATCAGGTGGACCCTTTAGCAAAATGTGTTTTTCAAAGGCATAAAACAGTTTGAGCAGATCCGTTTACAACGAGTAACCACGCCACAGGTAAGATAGTGAAACTAGTGTATAACACGCCGCCATATAGCCCACAAGCACTGTTTGGGGCGGTGGGGTAACCTAGTGGTTAACGCGTTGGCTCGTCACGCCGAAGACCCGGGTTCGATTCCCCACATGGGTACAATATGTGAAGCCCATTTCTGAATTGTCCCCCGCCGTGATATAGCTGGAATATTGCTAAAAGCGGCGTAAAACTAAACTCACTCACTCACTCACAAGCACTGTCGACACTACCCATTTAACTTTATCGTATTTAACAAAATATTTCTAAAGTCTCAACATTTTTAAACATATTGCCAAAACTAGGCACAGTTTCGAATTATTATTAATTTTGATGTAAAATGTAACAACTGAAATATTTTCGGTCTGAAGAAAATGACAACCACTCCCAAAATTGATTCAATTAATTCAACCTCTGTGAAATGAGCGCGTGAGTTGTTTGGGCAGGAAATAGATATCGACCTCACATACATGTACATGTACATGTATATTATGACAGCAATTTTTTAAATGCTCAAGATCAATTTATCAATTTTAGTATACGTGATAGGGCGTTCTGTATATAGGCACCTGTGTTCATTATATAACCAGTTACTGTTAGATGGTTGTGACTGCGCGCAATGGTCCATAGCTCCGTAATTCAAATCTCTTTGTGGAATAAACTTGATTCTTCCCTTCCCTGCATATAATAACAGTAATATTACTGATAGTCTGTCTCTCAGTCCTAAACCACATGATTTTCCCTACTGCCTAGCCCTTTCTCCAAATTCCAGTGCTAAAGCCCTAAATGAAGCAAGTCTAGATTTCCCCAGGTTCACAGATCCTCCCATCTCACTGGGGCTTCTTTTCAATTTAAAAGGATCAAATTGTCTCTATCAAAATTATATACTCAGCAGCAAAAATAAACGTCAGTAAGAATTCAAAATTAGATAGGCACTGTAATCAAATCATTACAGAAATGGACAGCAATACATGCTTGCA